TTCCATGTGGCTGCTCCATCCTTGGGAGTGTTCCAGGTCAGGTTGGATGGGGCTTGGAGCAATCTGGGCTGGTGGGAGGTGTCCCTAGGTGGAACTGAATGAGCTCTTAGGTCCTTCCAACCCAACCCATTCCATGATTCTGGAGCAGCTCTGCCATGGATCCAGGCTGGGAGAGCTGGGAATGTCCAGCCTGGAGAAGAGAAGCTCCAGGGAGACCTCAGAGCTCCTTCCAGTGCCTCAAGGAGCTCCAGGAGAGCTGCAGAGGGACTTGGGACAAGGGATGGAGGGACAGGACACAGGGAATGGCTTCCCACTGCCAGAGGGCAGGGACAGATGCGACCTATGGGGGTTTTGGGAAGGTCCAACCTGCTGTCAACTCCCAAGAGGAATTCCAAGAGCAGCCCAAGGAATTACCTGTGTGGAGCAGGAGCTGCAGAACTGCTTCAGACCTGTGGCTGCAAACACCTTGTCCTTGAAGCACTCAGAACACTCCAAGGTGGCAACATCTCCACACAGGCAACATTCCCTGGGACCTGCAGGGACAACAGGGATTGGAGGGTGTGACTTCTCCAGATCCCACCTGAAATCCAAAGCAATCCTGCCCAAACAACTCTTCAGGGAAGAAGAATCAGGCCCTGATCCCGTGGGGTATCCCAAAGAGGTGAGACCTGTCTCACCTGGTTGCTCCTTGACCATCACCCAACTTACTGTCCAGCAGGAGATCTGTGATATCCAACTCCAAGGAAGGAATGATCTTGCTGAACATTTTATATTCCTTCCCAAAACGTGGCATTTGGATAATGAAGCAGGATGGGATCTGGGAAAAGCAAGGGAAAAGGATCAACTTGGTAGAAGAGATAAAGCTCAGAGTGTCTTCTCTAAGCTTTGGTGTTGGGAATGAAAAGTTTCTGCTGGGGGAGAAATGGGAAAGAGGGAAAGGAGAGTCCTTTTCCCAAGTCATCTTGGATTTGGTGTGGGATACATGACACATGAGGCCTCAAAGGGACTTGGGGAAGGAAGGAAGAGGGAGAAAGGAAAGAAGGAAGGAATTCTTGAAGGAAGGAAGGGAGGAAGAGGGAGGGAGGAATTCTTGAGGGAATTCTTGAAGGGAGAGAGGAAGGAATTCTTGAAGGGAGAGAGGAAGGAATTCTTGAAGGGAGGGAGGAAGAATTCTTGAATAAATTCTTGGAGGGAGGAAGGGAGGGAAGGAGGATGGAATTATTGAACCAATTGAATGGAGGGAGGGAGGGAGGGAGGAAAGAAGGAATTCTGGAAGGAATGAATTCTGGAATGAATTCTGGAAGTAATTCTGGAAGGAATTCTGGAGTTCAGGAATTCAGGGAGGGAGGAAGGAAGAGGGAGGGAGGGAGGAAGAGGAAGGGAGAGAGGAAGGAAGGAATTCTTGAAGGGAGGAAGGAAGAATTCTTGAAGGAATTCTTGGAGGAAGGAAGGGAGGGAGGGAGGAAAGAAGGAATTATTGAAGGAATTCTTGAAGGGAGGAAGGAAGGAATTCTGGAAGGAATTCTGGAAGGAAGGAATTTTGGAAGGAAGGAATTTTGGAAGGAATTCAGGAGTTCAGGGAGGGAGGGAGGGACTCACTTCCACCAGCTTCAGATCTGAGGAGAGGAAGGAACGTTCCACCAATTGCTGCACGTCAGGAACCACCAGATCCTCCTGCTGATCCATGAATATCTGGTAGCAGTAACAATCCTGCTCCTTCTGCCCTCCAGACCTGCAAGGACATTCCATGGAGCTCAGGAATGTGGTGCCACAACCATCTGAGCTCCATGAGGTTTGGCCTCCAAGAACTTCTTAGCCTGAAGGCACCGAGTGCTGCTTTGGATGTGACACGAAGGAATATTTTTTCCACCCCAAAATGCCCAATCTGTGCCATAAGAAGAGGATTCCAGGAGCTTTTCCAGCCTCCTCATCCCTCTGCAGCACCACATCTGCTCCTACAAGTGAAATTCCACTTGATCTCCATAGTCAGGATGAAACTGCTCAAAGATCTTTTTGGAGCTGCACACACAGAAACCAAACTCAAGGTGAGTTGTGTGGAGAACATCTCCCCCCAACTCCAAACACTCCAGGCAGTCCTGGAAAAGGATTTCCTTGGGATGTTCAGGGAGAGCTGTAGCACAGAGTCCTCTTTGTGCTCAGTTTTCCGAGTCCTCCCTGATCCATGGAGAGCTCCACAAAGGAGCACAGAGAGCCAACAATTCCCTTCTGTGCTCCTCAACAGCCACAGTTACTTTTGGCTTCCTTCAGCCTCTCATTCTCTTTTGTAGAGTCCCAGAAAAAATAAACCTGGGACTCAATCCATGCAAGAGGCTGCAGGATCTGAGCCAGCTTGGCAGCTTGGATACATCCCAAATTCATCCAAAGCTTGTTTGATGCTCCTGGATCTGCCCTCAAGTTGGACACTGCCTTTCTCCAAAAAATTCTTGGCTCTTCCCTGAGGATGACACAAGGATTTATCCCAATTTTCTGATGGCAGCACACTCCAGGGAGAGTTTAAAAGTCTTTTTTTTTCTGGATGGGAAGATCACAACAAGCAGGAACTGCACAAAACTCAGAGCTGTGCTTCCAAAACTTGGGATGAATAGGCCCTGAGTGACCTCCAGGGAATGTGAGGTGGAAAACTAATGAGCTTGGCCTGAGGAAATTGTATCCCTGAGCTATGGAAACTTACTGGAGTCTCAAGAGTGGCTCTATTCCCAGGATCTGCTGCATAATCAGAGTGAGGAACTCCTCAGGATCTGGAAAGAGAGAGGAAGGTATGGATCACACCATACTGGGAATGCTGCCTGGTCCCACTGCAGCCAAAAGCTGCTCTGGGAATTCCATCCCAGCCCCTCACCACCCTAACAGCCAGGAATTCCTGCCCAATATCCCATCTCTCCCTGCCCTCTGGCACTGGGAAACCATTCCCTGTGTTCTGTTCCTCCATCCCTTGTCCCAAGTCCCTCTGTAGCTCTCCTGGAGCTCCTTGAGGCACTGGAAGGAGCTCTGAGGTCTCCCTGGAGCTTCTTTTCTTCAGGTTGGACATTCCCAGCTCTCCCAGGCTGGATCCATGGGACAGAGGCACTCCAGGATCATGGGATGGGTTGGGTGGAAAGACCCTTAAGGATCATCCATGGGCAAGGAGATCTTCCCCCAGCCCAAGTGTCTCCAAGCCCCATCCAACCTGACCTGGAACACTCCTAGGGATGGAGCAGCCACATTCACTCTGGGAAATCCATCCCAATGCCCAGAGAATAATTAATTAGCAATTAAGCTCCATAAACAAAGCAGCATGTTAACACACATTCCTGGAGGAAGCACAAAATGGAGTTGCCAACTGATGCCTGGATGTGGCAAAAGAAGGGAAGGGAAGAAGTCCAGAGGGAAGAAATCCAGAGAAGGCCCCAAGATGCTCCTTACCTTTCTCAGCGTTGGTGAAGCTTGAACATTGTCCCTTGTCTGTCAGCTGCTCCCGGAGGTGCATCACACTGCTGGCCCGGACAAAGCCACTCCTGGGGACAACAACCAGCTGCAGGGACAGCTCCAGGCACTTCACCCCTGGAATGGCTTGGGAAGGACCTTCAGGATCATCTAGTTCAACCTCCTTGACATGGCCAGGGACACCTCCCACCAGCCCAGGTGGCTCCAAGTCCCATCCAACCTAATCTGGACCCCTCCCAGGATTGGGGCAGCCACAGCTGCTCTGGGAATTCCATCCCAGCCCCTCAACATCTGCACAGGGAGGAATTCTTTCCCAGTATCCCATCTGTCCCTGCCCTCTGGCAGTGGGATCCATTCCCTGTGTCCTGTCCCTCCATCCCTTGTCCCAAGTCCCTCTGCAGCTCTCCTCGAGCTCCTTGAGGTATTGGAAGGGGCTCTGAGGTCTCCCTGGAGCTTCTCCTCTCCAGGCTGGACATTCCCAACTCTCCCAGCCTGGATCCAGGGCAGAGCTGCTCTAGAATCCTGGAATGGGTTGGGAGGGATTTGAAGGTCATCCTTGGGTAGGGAGATCTCCCACCAGCCCAGGTGGCTCCAACCCCATCCAACGTGGTTTGGAATGTCCCAGAGAAATGTTCATCCCATTTAATCCATCCTCAATCTCCCACCCTGAAGTTCCTTCAGGCCAGAATTCCAATCCTTCATCTTCCCCAGGAATGTGCCACTTTTTTTATCCTTCCTCAGGAATATTACGCTTATTTTTCCAGGTTTTTCCCAGGATTTGTTTCCCCTTGGCTCTGTTTGATCCAAATGATTTATTATCCCATGAATTCTCGCCCAGAATGAATCCCTGAAATCATTTCCTTCTGCTTCCAGTTGTCATCAAGTCACACAGGAAAATGGAAAAAAAAAAATAAAGTCACTCCAAATAACATCTCAGATTCCCAAACTATCCAACTGGGAATCTCCTGACCTACTTGGCAGGAGCCTTGGAGAGCCTGAGCTTTGCTTCCTGTGTTTTCTTTTTTTGCTCCTGACTTCCCCAGCCCCCCCAGCCTGTCTGTAGAGCAGAGAGGCTCCAGAATCATGGAATGGTTTTGGGTGAGAAGGAACCTTAAGGATTATCCCTGTCCCACCCAAAACCATGGTCAGGGACACTTCCCACCAGCCCAGGCTGCTCCAACCCGCCCTGGCACACTCCCAGGGATGGATCAGCCACAGCTGCTCTAGGACAAAACCATGGTCAGGGACACTTCCCACCAGCCCAGGCTGCTCCAACCCGCCCTGGCACACTCCCAGGGATGGATCAGCCACAGCTGCTCATTCCCTTCCCTCCCAGCCCCTCACCACCCTCCCAGGGAAAAATCCCTTTCCAATATCCCATCCAAACCTCCCTTCTGTCAGCTTAAAACCATTCCCTCTTCTCCTACAAGAAGACCTTTGGATGTGGCTGGCAGGAAAACCCTTTCTCTCAGGGATAGAAGGACTGAAAGCAGCTGGATAACTCCCAACATTCCCACAGGCTCTACTCACCTCCAGCCCCTCACCACCCTCCCAGGGAAAAATCCCTTTCCAATATCCCATCCAAACCTCCCTTCTGTCAGCTTAAAACCATTCCCTCTTCTCCTACAAGAAGACCTTTGGATGTGGCTGGCAGGAAAACCCTTTCTCTCAGGGATAGAAGGACTGAAAGCAGCTGGATAACTCCCAACATTCCCACAGGCTCTACTCACCTTCTGAGGGGATTGACAATCTCATCCCTCAGAATTCCTTGGACATTCCTGTCACACAGTGGGAAGGGCTTGAAGAGCATGGAATCCAGCACAGATGTGCAGGAGAAGAGGCTGTGGGAAAGATTGGGATAAGTCTAAGCCTGATGGATTTGCAGCCACAGCTCGACCCCAAATGTGGTGGTTGAGGGACAGTGGATGATTTGGATGTTCCAGAAATCCATGCATGGAATCAGAAGGAGGTGAGTGAGAGCACATCTGGTTTGATGGACACTGGGAACAAGCAAAGGAACAGCTCAGAGGGAAGAAAAACTCCTACTTTGCAGCCCAAACTGCTCATGGAGTGACACCACTGGGTCTTTTCCTCTCCAGACAAGGAAGTTGGGACCTCCTGGGTGAGTTCTTTGGCACTGGAAGTTGTGGCTGGAATAATTCCAGAATCAGCATAATCCAAGTCCGGAAAACTAGGAGCAATCAGCATCCTGCATGACACACAGGTACAGGAGAACTTCAGGACCTGAAGACCTGATGGATTTGGGAAGGAGATGAAAAACCTTCCAAGTTGTGTCTCCACACACTTAGATCCTCCTCAATTTCCAGCCACTGTGGAAATCCAGGGAAATGCTGCAATTTAGGGCTCTGCCTAATTAAAATCCCATGGATTTGGCACTAGCCAAGCAGGTCCTTACCTGAAGAGAGCTGCATCCATATAGCAGGAATTGCAGTGACCTTGGATCCCCTTCATCCGCCCGCGCAGGACACGCACTGCTGCCTCACTCCTGAGGGGAGGAAAACTGTCTGGAGCCTGTGGAAAACCCTCTGGAGGTTGTGCAAGAACTTCTTGTCCTCCTGCAAGAGAAGCAACACTGTTTAGCTTCCCAATTCCAAGTCAACTCTGCCCTTCTCTGATGCTCCAGAGGTCAATTCCACTCCCAGATCTAAGGTGGCTTCACCCTGTGGTTCCTCACTGAGCACTTCTCACACTTGTGGGACATTCCCTATGGAATCATTTAGGTTGGAAAAGACCTCTCAGCTCCTCAAGTCCAACCATGAACCCAACACTGCTAAGGGTGTGGGAGAAACACCATCACAACCACCTTGAAGGACACTCAAAGAAAGTGAAGAACATCCAACAGCTGATGAAATGCTGCCCATGAGGCTTCTCCAAAGGGAATCTTCTCCCTGTTTTCAGTTTGCAGATGACACAAAGCTGGGG